AAACTGAATTGACTAAACAATGTGAGCATCTCATTGAAGGACTGAAAACGAGTGAGCGAAGAATGGAAATGCTGAAGGAAGAGGCCGAGGAGCATTTGATACGGGAGGCGAGCGCTCTGTAACAGCAGCCGTAAGGGTTCCCATAGGTAAGCAAACAGAAAAAGATGTGGATGGCTCAAGAGAAAATTCGAAGATCCGAATGGGAAGCGACCAAAACTAGAGAAATAAAAGAATCTACTATACGTGGGATGGAGCCAGAAGTTGAGAGGATACTCAGTGAAGCACGCAAGGAAAAGCAGGCGAGAGCTCTCCTGTCCCTGCTGTCTCGTTAATTCGACTCGATTAAATCGGAGTTATTTTCATCCAACAGGCTTTACTTGAACGCCATAGGGAAGCTTTAGAAGTTCAGCGTGCTGAACTAGCGGCCGAACATAAACTCCAAATGGAGATAAAAACAGAGGCGATAAGGAGAGAATGCGACGCTCTAGTGCTGATCGAGAGGGACCGCTGCCGGCGGCAGGTCCGCGAGGAAAGCCGAACCGCGTATAGAACTCCTGCTAGGTCGCTGAAGAGGCTGAGAAATGGAATGAACAGATGAGGTCAATCCGGATAGGCGCTCAGCAAGATATGGTAGAGGTTAGAAATAAGGCCGAGGAAGAGCGCAATAAATTGGATATCAAATTTAGAGAGGAACTGCATCAGGTGCGGATCTCCTTGACGTAGCGATAAAAAACGACTCGCAAGCAGGCGCATGTTGAGGCTGTGAAGCGATTGAAAGAGGCCGAGCAAAAGTTCGAGGAAGAATTGACTCGAGTGAAATCTGCTAAGGAGGTTGAAGTTAAGACGATTAAACGAGGAGAAGAACTCGAACGAGAGACATGGATGGAAAATGTGAGGCAGGCTTAATGAATTGACCATCTGGACGAGAACGCAGATACGGAAGAAGCTGGAGGACGAGTTGAGAGAGAAGGAAAAGGAGATACGAAAGGAATGTGAAGAAGAGAGAAAATCGCCAGGTGAGAATTAGTAAAATTCGGCTCCGTTTTGGGTGTGTTTTCATTGAGATGATTCCGGAATATTATGACTTTATTACAAGTATACTAGAAGTTATACTCATCGGAGTTCTAGAGTTTTCCGAAAATATGTCCTACTTTTTTGAATAGCAAGATAGCGGTAAGGGATGAAATACCAGCTGAGAAGGGCCTTCTGATCTTGTTGTTATAATGATAAATTTCATATTTTGAGTCGTCGAGGGGGGATCGAAAATTTTCAACTTTCAAGAATCGGTTACGCTGGGATAGATCGGACGCTATGTCGTCGAGTCGTAGAATTCGACCGCGTTTATTCAAAGGCCTCATCGGCTTGTATATTATCATCAAATTTCATCCCCATACTCAACGACAACAAATCACGAACACGTTTCCCAGGGTGGGGTTGCCACGCATATGCACGTCCTTCGTGCCGAAGGTGTGCTAGCTGCGTCAATCCAACCACGTAGTTGAGCATGGATCTAGTTATGCACTCGAATTGGTGAAGTAGCAGACGACCCACCGGGTTGTTGTTGTTGTTGTTGTTGTTGTTGTTGTTGTTGTTGTTGTTGTTGTTGTTGTTGTTGTTGTTTTTGTTTTTGTTGTTGTGGTGTTTCACGTCAGACACAAGGGTGGCTTAGTCTGACAACCCTCCCCTATCAGCCTTACCGCTTCAAGGGCACCTCTCCAAGATATAGAGACATAGTTAAGAGCGCCTAGCCCCCCAAGGGCATTGGCATACTTGATCGTATCTAGAATAATGTATTTCCAATCAGCGATTCACGTCACACAAGAAATATCGCCCGGGTGACGTGAACGCCGATGAGAATAAGATCATACAGTTACTGTAACAGCACGATATCCAACGACAGGTGCAAGGACATATCGAACCGGCCTTGAGAACGATTCGCAGCCGTTTGGTATCACCAACACGAAGCAAACCAGTGGGCTCGGATGGAGGTCAGAAGCTGCCTGTCAATCATTGGCGATTGAAAGAGAAATGGCCGAGTCTCATATCGCGGCTGTTAGATTGTGCGAGGAGAGGGAAACACTCATCCAGATGGTCATGCCCGTGATGGTGAAGCCAAGGAGGTGTACGTCGAAGTTTGAGGAAATCGTAATTTCGAAACGATCCGCCGCAAGAAAATCAAAGCGAACGGTTAAATTCCCTTGAGTGATGAGGTCGCCGTTCGCAAGAACCTTGTTGATAGAACCTCTTCCGAGAGAAGGAGAATTGAATGACCTTAAAACCACTGACGCTGACCACTCCTTACGTGGACATGATAACGGCAGGGAATTGCATGCCAGAGACCTCGGTAGACGACCGACATTCATAGCATTTGTATTCAGGCGTAAGGGCGAGGCATGGGATCTCCCTCCCAACGTGTATATCTCGAAATGACCATGTCGATTGTCCAATCATAACCTTGGCTATATAGGGAACAGCTACGAACTGTAGTAGAAGTCTGGCCACCATCACCAGACAGCAAATCGTCCATATGAAGGACCCAATCGGCAGACGAACAAAGAAAAGCGTCTAATAAGTGGAAATATGAAAATTGAGTGCATACCAACGTCTCACCATTTCGTTGGGTTATTCACTTTCAATTCATTAATGATAACTTAGGTTGCGACAGTTGTGGACCGTTTGAGTCGAGAGGTTGTCGAGGCGGAGTATCGCGCAAAGGCTTCTGCCTCAAAGGAGTGGGAAGATAACAAAACGCGACTCACAGGGGAAATTGCCGATCTACAGCAAAACGTACGGAACACTGTCAACAAAGACAATTTAATACCGCTCATCAGATGAAGGCACTCGAGAAAGAGCGAGAAAGC